CAGTCAACACAGCGCAAGGCTGGAATGGCGATCGAAAACAGAAGGCTCGAGCCCAACGCGTCATTCCCTCGATGGCGCGTGGGTCTGTTGGCCACGGATCGGGCTCGGTTCTTTGGGTCCTGACTTTGTAAAAAATGATGCTCGCCACGACATGCCAATGACATGCTTCCCCCTCTCCCCCAGTCTGTCTGCTCGCATCCTGTCCTCGCGTCGTCTCCGTGTCCGCTTTCCGCACTCCCTTCTCGCCAGCCCTCGGTACCTCGCTCGTCTCTCGCAAGTTGCGCCTCACTAATTCAAGTTGTCGACGTACACCCTCGGCACACTTGACAGTCCATTCCCTCCCGTGTCAGTCCTTTCATATGCGGTGTTCTTTACTCGAAAAGTGAGCTGATAGGTCTCTTGGACGCTCTAGATCATTGCCACGCGGCCACTGCTGGAACCAGAGTATTTGCAGCAAGTCAGACAGAGCGGGATCATGCCGTCCCTGCTATCCCTACCTGCAAGTGTGATTGTCAAAACCTTCTCATGTCTACTTCCTCAGAAAGCCATCTTGGCTAAGGAGCGCGGATCTCCGGGGCTCGTTGCGCTTGCGACTACTTGTCAGCAGCTCTCGGAACTTGCTCTCGACGTGCTATGGCGGGATCTTCCTTCGGTGATACCCCTCCTACTCACCATGCCTCCCGACCTCATCGCAACGTCAACTGTACAGTGCAAAACCGTTCATGGCGACCGGGAGGTCCAAGTGCTGGTAAGTAGTAGGCCCGTATACAGTAGTTCTGTGATGTAGGTTTGACCTGGTCGTTGTCAGAGCTTCCGTAGAGCCCTGGTTCCTGCCGACTACGCGTGCTTGATGAAGTATGCTGTTCGAGTCAAGTCGCTCGATTACTATCACGTCAGCAAATACCCGCCCCATGTCCGTGCACGCGCAACTCCAGACGTCTGGCATACGCTTCAAGGACTTCGACCGATGGCCGAGTTTCTCCCCAATCTCCAGAAACTGACGTGGGTCTGGACCATGAATACCGTGGACGAGCAGGAAGGACCGGGCCCTCTTGCGCTCTTGGCAAGCCCCAAGTTGCAAGACGTTCAGATGGTCTATACGTCTCTCGCTGAGGATGGGACATATCTGCCCTTACCTGCATCGATTGGAGAAGCCTGCACCGATTTCCTCTCGCGTCTCTCTTGTAATCCACAAAACGTACATACGTTCAAGATCAACTTCTTTGGCCATGCACCTCCGCTTCGCCCCAACCTATCATCGCTTGTGACCAAGACGCACAGTCTGACCAGTTTTTTCTGTCAAGACGTTCCTCTGACTCCTGAAGGCTTCCTTCGCCTCACCCAATGCTCATCCTTGCAATCGTTTACTACGTTGATATGGACCGAAGACTGGACCGAAGACTGGAAGGCGGTCTTACAACAACTCCGTGCGCAGCCTTGCTTCCCTGTGCTTCGCGATCTCGAGCTACTGGTCAACGATATCGACCTGTGCATTAGCATGATCGACCTCATCTGTTCTCGTGAACTGGAGAGCCTCTCTCTCTTTCTATCCGGGAGCCAATTGGTGACGGGCATTACAAAGTGTTTCGCGACCCTCCCCAAATGGTCCTTCGCCCCGCAGCTTCGCGAGCTTGCTCTCACATTACCCCCTTCCTCTCAACCTCTATGGACCATTTATGCTGCCGATCTCTTCCCTCTCTTTGACCTCGATTTACACCATCTCTCGCTATGGGGTTTTAAGGTTGCCATCTCCAACGAGCTCGTCCGCAAGATGTCCGAGGCCTGGCCGAACATCATCACCCTCAAACTCTCGGATTGCAGATACACCAAGTCCCCATACAAGGTCACCCTTCCGGGGCTCCTGCCGTTTGTCTATAATTGCCCTCGCCTCAAAGAGCTCCACCTGGAGGTCGACGCGACCACCCTCGCCTTCCCGCATCCAATTCCAGAGATCCGCCCCGGGTTTGGGTGGGAGCAGCGAGCGCTATGCGAGCTGCACCCGGGCTATGGACTCATCTCGGACCCGTACTTCGTCGCCGGCTACATAGCGGATTGCTTCCCCATGTGCTGGGGCGTGATCAGCTCGTGGCCCGGATCAGCCGATCTCAGTGGTCCGGACGGGACAACGGGGGGTACGCAGGGTGCCCTGTGGGACACAGCTTGGGTGTATCTCAGGTATTTTGCCAGGGTGCGGGCGCAGGAGAGGCATGGGACTGTGGCGGCGGGTTTGAAGGTTCGGGAACCGGCGGATCCAAAGGTCGTGTTGCAGTACGTCGAGATGCTCCAGAGTAATCCGGCGGAGGCTGCAAGGATCGCGTCGGCGCACGGACTGTGGTGAGTAACTAAGTTGTTCAGCGCAGTCGTCTCTATGCTAACCTGCAGAAATTTGTAGGGCCCCTCGAGCATCTGTATCGGAGCGTCTGTGAGATGAACACCAACAAGTTCCATGATTCTGGTCGCTTCTTGTCAGATTGTTGTCGACGACTCGCTCGTAGCTCGTATTACAATAGCTTAGCCAAGTTTCACTGTCACGCTTGAACTCTGCAGCAGCTTCCACGATTTCGACTACCTCGGTGTCCGACCTCCTGCCCGCATCCATCTTTCCGACCTCCTGCCCCTGTTTGAACGCTGCTAGAAGCTTCAGCGACTCGTTTGTTACTTACACCGTAGAGCTTTCGCCTGCGCCTGACATGACGCGTGCTACACGTGACCGCGTAGTCGCGACTGGGTCGGCCATTTGTCTCTGCGTGTACTCCCGTTCAGTCACACATATGGACACTCAAGGGATATGGGAGAGTCAAGAGTACTTCTCCAGGCGTTCAGGATCCGGCGCATCGTGTAGGCACCACTTTCGTCGATGTGCCAAGCAGAATCATCGTTGACGCCATCGCTAAGCGCCAGCCGAGCTCTTTTCTTTTCTTCTAACCACGACCACACGCGACCCCTCAGTTATCTAGGATCCGTCAGACACACTCCGTACTTGAAGCAAGGCCGGGATATAGCGAGAATACCCCGGAGACAAGATGTTCACGTCTCGCAGCTGACAACGTGCGCGGTACTAGTATCTAGACATGTGGGTACGCGGGCTGGTTCTCATCTTAATCGTGCTCACGATTGGTCGAAATTCCTATGTAGACGACGCTGTGCGAACGCTGTACGAACTCGACACGCTCAATGCCTGCACTTCATCACACCCAATCCGTCTTCCATGGACGCGCGGCAATGATTCATGCCATCGGACGTCTGCCGGGATGTGTAAAACCGATTTATGCTCACGCTCACAGGTGCGCTCACTCCGCGCGTCCACGTCCGCGTCTGGCTCATTATCTACAGGAAGAATTGGGGCTCATCAGCATGAATCGCCCATATCCCGCCCCGAAATGCACATCGACCACGCAGGCGCTCCGGCTTCTCGCAGGCGACACCGAAAGAACCTAACCCCCCGTGCGGGAAGCTCACACCGGTCTATAGAGCGCAGCTTGTCGTGGGCAACGTGTTCTCAGTCCCGGTGAGTCGAGCAGTTCATTTCCCCATTGCTGTAGTTGCGGAGCGCACACGGCGGCGTCGTGTCATGCACGTCGACCAAGCTCTTCGTGCCAAGCCTCACAGTCTCCGGCCGGCGCTCCTGCACAAACCACGCTCCCTCCGTCGTGCGACTGGGTCAGAGTTGAATTGTAGATTGCGCCCGTGAGACGCACCCCTCATCATGAGCCGCATATATACGGGCTATACAGAATTTCGTTTCATCTGTTTGTCTTCGTTCGCGGGTGGTCATCATTCGATAGGACCATCCCGGTCAACTCCTCGCGAATGATGACCGTCATGGTGGCTACGAACGTGCTGCTCCAGACTGCCTACCGCGAGCGGCGTGGCAACGCGAAGAGACTTCCGTAGTGCTATTTTTGGAACCTTTAGCGTGTCGGTGAACTCTGACCCGGAGGCAGTGACACAGAAGCTCAGGCACACTCCTTGACCTCAGTTGGGCATCGTGCGTTGCGCTGCAGTCACAGCTGACCGACAGGAGAGTCATGACATGATATGGAGGAGGTTCAAATCATACGCGCGTTCCAGATACTGACAGTCCGGTGTGTAGAATACAATAGGGCACTATTCGCTCCACAAGAGAATCCTACTGCGCTCTGTACGTCATGCCGCAACATCCAACGTGCCTCCCGCGAGGTCTCTCCGCGCTCAGCAGCACATCTCGCACGGGCAACCTGGAGTGGTACGACGTCAGAATCCCCATTAACCCGATGCAATGGAAAGCGACGTACAGACGATGTCCGCGATGCACTCGCAGCAATCCTACGGAGCAGTTCAGGCATGAGAATGGTGAGCAGCGACCCGCACTCTCGATCACTCACTTTGCAGCACTCTGGGCGGAACATCAGGATGGTCAGCGAATGCACAACTGAAGCCGCAGGACGGCACTCACCGAAGCAGAGGAAACATTCAATCATGCCGAGGAAACAGTCCTGTCGCAAGCATGATAAGAATCTCGTGGACGTAGTGTGGCGGTAGGCGGTCCTTACCTTGGCAGCACCACCACCGCGGAGACGTTCAGCAAAGCCACGCTTGTGACGGCACTCTTGCTGGGTCTGGTTGCTCTCGCGTGCGGGCGGGTTCATCACGCCTGCCGACATCGGACGTGGGTGAGCGTCCGTCTCTCGGCTTAGGCATGTTAGATGCATAGCAACGCACTCATCTGGACGGCCTGGGGCTGGGAGGATGTGGTCATGGCTGGCTTCGGGGCGTCCATTGTGTAGGTGGTGTCCAACGTGTCAGGAGGATGAAAGGATGCGGGTAGGAGAGGGGTGTAAGGACAGGATTGCCCTGAGGAGATGGAGTTATATATACTCCTCGACCTCTCTGCGCGGTCAGGGATCCCGGACCAGATTGACGCGTGAGGTCATAACGAGGCGCAGTGTGTGCTATTCTTAGGGCGGCTTATATCAGTCCCAATAAACGAGCCATGAGGTTGTGTCCCTGAGCAGAGGCATGGCAACATGGCCGAGCGGTCTAAGGCGCCAGAATCAGGCCGTTGGGTTGTTGATTCAACCTGGCTTATCTGGTCCGAAAGGGCGTGGGTTCGAATCCCACTGTTGTCATCCTTTTTTTTCTACCCTTGTTCCATGTTAAACGCGACTGTAGCTTATTTTATGAGCCCCCGACGATCTACAGTGTTTGACCGGTCCTTGGACCACCATGGTTCCTTGGGCCAATCGACCCTTTCCTGTCCTCATGCATATCTTGTAAGCTTTTATACACCTGAACTATATTTCTCAGTCTCGTATACACGTCTATACCAATTTTTGGGACAGTCTACCTAGATCAGAGGGAACTACCACAATGTTTACATCCAGAACAGCTGATTATGAAATTTCTGCAACTCAATACAACAGATGTATGGACTGGAACACCCTAAATTTTTGCGAGACACTCAATAGCATACACTGTGTTCCATATGTCGTACAGATCTGCTTATCGCATGAAGTACTGATGCATACAGCAACAATCATTGCAGGAGGAGGTCCAGGAGTCGACATTGACTAAGCGCCAGGTCACATCACACTGCCTATTTAAGAAAGCGGCGTGTCGCAGCGCAGCGGGAGGTGGCGGGACCAGGTGACAGCGTGGGAGGCTGAATGAGACCTTGCAAGGGTGGAGAAACGTCGAGCCAGGTGGCAGAAGCCCAAGCTGGGCACAGTAGAGAAAGCCAGGCCAAAGCCAAAGCTCTCTGCTGCACGGGATATCGAGGATGAGGATGAAGACGATGAGGATGAGGACGAGGACGAGGCCGGGGATGATGAGTGATGTAATGATCAGTGATTAGATCCGGTCTCGATTAGGAAATCACACTCATCTGTGACCTGGTCCAAGGAGCGCAGAATGCCTGATACGCCACAACTCGACAAATTTGCCTCCCCACTCCCACATACTTCCACTACGGTCACAGAAACTGCGTAGATGTGTAACAAACGTCTCTTGTAGCACACAGGTGAAGTTTCAGGCCGGACCCTTTCATTATACTGACGTTATGCAGCGCTCAAGATTTGGGTGGTCCAAGGACCGGTCAAATACTGTATGCTCCCAATGCAACAAATTGCACTCACTGACGCACCGGCGTCTGTGCTTAGAAGGGCGCTTCATACCTAAACTTGGTGAAATGCATCAGACGGGGGAATGCCTGTTTACTCTTGGCGGAACACATATGCCTTGAGCAGCCATAGTCTTAGAAGTTCAAACTGGGCCCGAGACATCATGCAAATCAAGGAGTGTATTATCCAAGTCCAGTGATGTGTAATCCTATAAAGTCCATGCAAACTGTCCAAATCGTTCACAATCTCGTCACTACAACACGTATTCTGACGCATCGATTTATGCAACAGTGATGCTGAACTTGTCGGAGGCGTTGCCAGAGTCACCGATCACTAGAAAGATTCATGAAAATGAGCACGGTCTACACCTATGGCAGCAACAGTGACTGGATGGTATGTACGGACGACGATGTAGTCACTGCGGGGGTCCACCTCGGGTACGGTCACGTTGACGGCGCCGTTTTTGATCTGGAAACCGGAAGCCAGGGGGTGCTCTGCAAAGTCACAGCGAATGGTTCAATGGTACATCAGCAATTCAATCCGGACATGCACACAAGAGTACTCACTGATGTCAAGGTGCTCATCGGAACTACCGTCCTCAACGTAGCCGAGGAGGAGGACACCAGTCTGGTACTCGGCCTCGGAAGGCATGTCGGATGTATCCCAGGTGATGGTCTGCTCGGAGCCGACGGGCCAGGAGTCTCCGGCAACAGGGGCGGTGAGCTGGGGGCGGTAGACAACGTCGATCTTTGCCCCCGAGGGGTTGAAGACCGCAGGGGCCGCAAGGACTGCGGAAGCAGCAGCGGCGACGACGGAGAAGGCGGCGATCAGCTTGGTAGAGGCGAACATGTTGGCGGCGGACGCGTGGAGGTTCGAGCGGCGGGTATTGGGTATTGGTTTCGTAAAGAAGGAGCGAGGGTGCCGGAGCAACGAACGACGGGGCCGCAAGGGGACGAGAGGGAGAAGGGTGAACGGAGAGGGGAACAGGAAGCAAGGATGCTTTTGCGCAACGTCGTAGGCAAGGATGTTAATAAATACCTCTCGGCTGAAGAGACATTGTCAGTTCGGCTAGCGCTTCTAGCGCTGTTTCATGACCACACCCATCTCTGGGGGACTCTACGCGGCCGCTCGTCTAACGCGTATTCAGGATCGCCGTCCGCTTTTCGGATGAGCATTCATGCAGCAGCGGCGCCCATGATGCTCGGGATCTGTAACGCGGACGTAAGTATCTCACTGTCAGCTGGACATGCAAGAGAGTAGCGGAATCTTTGCAGGTGCACTCCTCTCTCATGTGGAGCACGACATGCATGACAACCGGTTTGAAGTGGCAGTTGAATATCACCCGACAAGTGGAGCAACATTCTGATCCAATTCGGCAACTCCTGGTGGCGGTGCTCTCGTGCAAGTTTGCGATCTTGGCGCTTCCTCACGCGCACGCTCCCTGCCCTCGTGTCGCCGTTGTTTCCCGGTCGCAACGATCACTGACCTTTATGAAGCCCAACGTTCCGGATTTCAATCGAAATCTCAGTCAAATACTTGGTGCGCATGATAGCTGCGCTCATACGCATGACAAGAACGCCGGAGATCGGAAACAACTCCGAAACACGACAGGAGACGCGGAGAATCCATTCCAGTACTGTACCGAGTTACGAGTAACAAGATGCATGTGAAAGTACTATTGGCATATCAAGAGGTATGTGAGTATGGGTACTGTGTAGGATGCTATATGATACAATGCAACAGATCAAGTATCCCTTCACACTTGCGAAGGAGACATGGAGCTATATGACAGCGGAAGGATGTAAGACATACGGAGGTGAATGCAGTGCGTCATTTGCATAGTGGAGAATTCAGCTCTCTCAACGAAACCGGGGTGCTACTGCGCACATCAGAGATCATTCCCCAGCGCAGATGATGAGGACGAGGTGCCCAAAGATCGCGACCGAAGACCCCCGAGCATTGAAAACCGCCTGGAAGAGCGTTCACTGCTTGGCAGCCTTGCGATCTTGCGCGAAACACGCTGGGTCGTCGGACTGATGGACTCGTTCGAGTCGTCGCTACTCGGAGGGTCCGAGCTGAAGATGGTGTGTTGAACACGGCGAAGGGCGGGAGAGACAAGGCGACGGGGTGTCACCTGCCCGATGGGGAGATCGTCGTCAGACGGAGGGAGGTCTTGGACGTGCTTCAAGTCCGGTGATGCGACCATGATGGAGTCATCTAAGCGGAAAGGAGCGTTCATAGGTGAGTGACTTGCGTGAAACCTAACGAAAGTAAACTGAGTACTCACCACTGCCGAAAAGAGGAGCATCGCGGAGGAACCGGAGTGGCGAAGACAAGTCTGCGGCCTCTTCGCGCAACTCCTCTGCACGACCCAACCTGCGCCTCTTCGGGGTGCCGAGCTTCTGGAAGTTGGCCTGCTCGCCAAGGAGTTTCGTGGCCGATCGCGTGCGCCGAAGAGGTTGAGGAGCGGAAGACGTCGACGCATAACTTTCCTCGGGCGCAGGAGACATGCTGAGCCTCCGTCGCCTCATGATGGTCTCCACCGCAGGCACCTCGACAACATCCATGAAGACACCCTTGCGTTTGCGCGAGAGCGGTGTCGGAGTCGCCTGAGTGAGGGACTCGTCGTCGGATGCGACCGACGAAGCGTCGTCTTCGGCGGGTTCCGCGTGCTTTGCCACGTCGTCCACTGGTAGCTCCTTAAGCACCTTCACATTCGAGCTGTCGTGCATGACCGCACGGACTTGCATCCTGTTGACAGTCAACCGCCCGAGTGGCGATGCGTCCAGGCGATTGATCTTATGGGCCCTTTCGTCGAGCACAGCCGGCTCCTCCGCATCCTCGACGCGAGATCGTTTTCCAAGGATGGACTCCAGCAGCAATGGCGACTGCATTGCCAAACGCTCTGCAACTGTTGGGATGCGAGGCAAAGGCGAATGGTTCTCCTTGTTCTTGGCGGGCTGCTTGGCCGGTGAGCGTTTCGGCGTGGTCGGTGAGCGGGTGGGAGAGCAGTCCATAGCGCTCGAAGCGGGAGACGGAGCACTGGCCACGTCGGCGCAATGAGCGTTGTTCTCTGAATGCGACGGGGTGGCATGAGGGTGTCGACGGCGGGGACTCGCCTTTGGAGTCAATGGCACCAATGGAGAGGCTCTCGGAATTGGTATAGGCCCTGACATCGCAGCGAGGGTCCCAGGCGAAGGCACGACAATAGATCCTTCGTCCTCGCTATCAACAACCTCCTCGCCTTCAACAGCTTCGTCGCCCTCGAGAGCAGCAGTCACTTCCTCGGACTGCGGGAATTGTTCGAGGACAGGGCTCTCGACTTCGCCATCTTGGATCGCCGTCATATCCTCGACAAACGCCTCGTCCTCCTGCTCCTCCAGCCGCGCTTTTGCAACGGCCGCTAAACACTGCGCGATCTGCTCCGGGTACCCGCACGGTGGCACGGGAACTCCTGCATACGTAGCCTGCCAGAATTCATCGAACGCGTCGACGGTGCCCGCGTGCTTGTCGACTCGTCCAGAGAAGGGAGCGACGAGGAAGGGCGCGAGCGTCTCGAGGATATGTGTATCGACTGGCAATGCCTGCATGCTGATCAAGACTGTTTGATACAACGGCAGGATCTGCAGAAGTCCGTGAGTATAACTACAGAGCACGTTTGAGAAATAAATCAGAGACTCACGTCGCAGGAGTACTCGTCCGCGGTGCAAACGTGGAACTCGTCGGCGACCCAGGTCCGCAAACCCTCCACGATCAATTCCAGCATGGTAAAGCACAATTCAGGCGGGCACCCGTCGATGACGCGCGTAAGGGTGCGGATAAGCCACATGCACATGACACTGTGCCTCGGCGCGGGGGGGTACGCCGCGTTGAGCGTGTCGTTCGCGAACTCGAATACCTCGCTCGGTACCTGGCGCGCCTCGGCGATCTCCACGTTCGACAACAGGAGGTCGGCGATACGCACTGCAGCCGTCGACGACGGGCTGTGGTTGGTCGCGATAACGCCGGCA